GCGGCGGCCCCCGATGAGGCGGCGGGGCTGCGGCACCGGGAGCCCCCCGCGGCCGCCCCCGAGGGCCCCGCCGAGCCCACGCTGGTGCTGCGGCTCAAGTTCCTGAACGACACCGAGCGCCTGGCGCGGGTGCGCCCCGGGGACACCGTCGGGGCGCTCAAGAGGTGAGGGGGGCGGGCAGCGCCGACGTGTCCCGGCCCGGGGGCCCCCGGGAGGGCACAGCCGTGCCCGGGGCAGGTGGGCTTGGCCCGGGTGTCTGTGCCCGGCGCTGTGGCCGTGGGACAGCCCGTGCTGGCAGGGGAGCCCTGGGGCGGGCGATGGGGATGTGCGGGCACAGCTGTGCAGAGGGGCAGGGGTGGACAGAGGGCACTGCCCTGGCAGGTGACAGGTGGAGGGACACAGGGGCACAAGAGTGCAGGGCGGGGGGGGGGTCACAGTGGGCACGTCCATAGGAGGAAGGAGGGGACTGTGCTGGCGGGTGGCACCGGGAGTGGGTAATGGGGACATGGGCTCGGGTGTGCAGGTGGGGCGGGGGGTCCGGGTGGGCACAGTGGCACGGGGTGGGTGGAGGGGCCTGTCCTGCCAGCGGCGACACCCCTGTACTCGTCCCCTCCAGGACCTACTTCCCCGGGCAGGAGCAGCAGGTACGGCTGATCTACCAGGGGCAGCTGCTGCGCGACGACGCCCAGAGCCTGGCGGGGCTGCACCTGGGCCACCTGAGCGTCCTGCACTGCCACCTGTCCCCGCCCAGCGCCGCCCCCGCCGCGCCCGGGCCCCCCGGCCCCCGCGGCCCCGCGCCTGCCGCGCTGGGCGTGGGCAGCCTGGCGCTGCCACTCTTCGTGCTGCTGCTGGCCCTGCTCTGGTACCTGCAGCTGCAGCACCGCCACGTCTTCACCGCCACCGCCACCACCTGCCTGGCCGGGCTCACCCTGCTCGTCACCTTCGTGGCCTTCGCCATGTACCGCAGATAGCGCGGCCCAGACGCGCTCCTGGGGCCCTGGGCCACGCTCGGACACCTGGGGAGCCCCCCCAGCCCACCTGGGGCTCTGCGTTCAGCTCACCCAATACATCGGAACCAGAGGGGCCGGGCTCCGGACTGTGTCCCCCAGGGGCTGTAGGCTCAGGGGTCCCGGGGGTCCCCTCACCTCGTGCTGGGGCTCCGGGGCCGGGGCTGTTGCAGGAGTGGAGGCTCAGCTACCTCTAGGGGGGTCACGGTGCCCCCCGGCCCTGCACGGAGTGTCCCACGGCCGCTCCACGGGTGGCCGTGCCCCCGGAGCTCCTCCCCGCGGGGGTATGGCCCAACCCCTCCCGGGGGCAGCTCCCGGGGGTCCCTATGGTGCCGGGAGTCCTGGTGCCGGCAGGATATGCTCCAGAGATCCCGAGGGTGCCAGGCGGAATGTGCTCCCGGGGTGCCAGGGGTCCCCGTGCCGGGGGAGTGCGCCCCCCGGGGGTCTCGGTGCCGGGCGGGATGTGCTCCCCACTGTCCCGAGGGTCCCGGTGCTGTGCTGGGGGATGCCGCCCCCCACCGCCGTAACAATTAAAGCGGAAGGACTGTGACCGGCCGCGGCGTCCCGGCTCTGCTGCGCCGTCGGGGAGCGGGGGGGGTGACGGGCGGGAAGGGGGTGACAGGGGACCGGGGGGAACCGGGCCGGGGGGAACCGGGACGGGGGGCGGGGCTCCGGGAGGGGGCGGGGCCTGCGCATCCAGCCACGCGCTCCGCAGGACCGCAGCGCGCCTGCGCCGGCAGCACCTTCGCGGGGCGCTCCCTCATTGGTTGGGGCTCAGGGCTGATTTGCATACGGCGCGCGCCGGCCCCGCCCCGGAAGGTTCGCGCGCGGGGCGGGGCCGCGAAGATGGCGGCGGGGCCGCGCTCCCGGTCCGGGTCCGGGGCCCCGCGGCGCTGAGCGGCGGCGGCGGGACCGAGCGGCCGCCAGCGCCATGTACGGCCGGGACGGGTCTGGAGGGGAGGGGTGAGGCCCGCCGGGGGGCCGCGGCACCGCCCGGCACCGCCCGGGGGTCGGTGTGTGCCCGGGAGAGGGGAGAGGGCTGTGGGCCGGGGGACACCGGCCGGGCCGGGGATCCCGGGACCGCGGCGCTGGGCGGGACGGGGACGCGGGCAGGGCCGAGGTCCCGGTGCCAGGGGCTCGTGCGGGTGGAGGTCCTTGTGGATGGGGGGGCCCTGACAGGTCGGGGGTCCCCGTGGGTGGGGCGGCCCCCGTGCCCCCGCCGGCCCCGGCCGTCCCGCAGCCCCCCCTCACTGCCCGCACCCCCGCTGTTCCCGCAGGGTCCCCCGGAGCCGCGGAGCCCCCCGCGCCGCGCCGCCCCCGCCATGCTGTGCCCGCTGCTGTGCCCATGGCTGCGCGCTCTGACCCGGGCGGGCCCGCGGGGCCCGGCTGCCCGTGAGCGCCGCGGCGCCGCGATGTTCCCCGCCTGCTGCTGCGCCGGCAAGGCCAGGCCGCGGCTGCTGCTGCCCCTGGACCCCTACGGCCATGGCCTGCTGCCCCCCGTGCCCCCGGACGGCGGCCGGGGCCGGGCCCACGGCAAGAGGAAGAGCTGGAACTTCATCCACGAGAAGATGAGCTACGACACCTTCTTCACCATGAAGCGGCTGATCGAGCGCTCGCGCAGCGTGGGCGAGGTGCTGCGCTGGGTCACGCAGAACCCGGGCAAGGTGTCGGCCAGCCACTACCCCATCGCGCTGCACAAGCTGGGCCAGCTCCTGCAGCAGCAGCCGGGGCCGCCCGCGGGGGCCGGGGCCGGGCACGGGCCCGCGGGGCAGGTGCTGGAGCAGCCCGAGTTCCACGCGCTGTGCCAGGCCATCGTCAGCGGCTGCGCCAAGTTCGACAACTTCAGCATCGTCAACTGCCTGTACGCGGCGGCTGCGCTGGGTGAGACACCCCGGGGCCTGGGCTGGGTGGAGGTGTGGCACGTGGAGCTGTGCTCTTCCAGGGGCACAGACGGCTCACACCAGTTCTGCTCTGTTTGGGGGACGGGAGGGCTGGATGCCCCTCAGGGAGGGCTCTGCTCAGGGGGCAGCACTGCCCTGGGGGACCCTGCTCTGAGGGTTCTGCTTGAGGGGCAGCAGAGCAGGGTGCCCCTGGCTGCCCCAGGAATCAGTGCTGGAGCCAGCGGGAGCCAGGACGCTGGACAGCATTGCCTGGCCAGTGTGGATCAGCTGCTCCTGGAGCCCAGTTCCAGGCCCTGAAACACCTGAGCACTGAGGTTTCAGCCTTGGCTGAACCCTTCCAGGGCACAAGCCCTACGTCACCAGGTGTTGCTCTGCAGGGAAGAATGTTTGAGGTGTTTGGGTTCCTGTGCAGCTGCCTCTGGATGTTACGGAGCTGGGGCTGTGTCCCAGGGGTTCCCCCTTCACTGGGCACAGAAGACCCTGCACGTTCTCCTGTCACGAGGAGGGGATTGGGGTCTGTGTAAAAGAGGAGTGGGCAGGAGGGCCGGGGGGAAACCTGATCCACTCAGGTGAGACCTCACCTGCAGAGCTGCCTCCAGCTCCAGGGAACAACAGCAGGAGGACGTGGAGCTGCTGGAGAGAGTCCAGCGGAGGCCACGGAGATGCTGCCAGGGCTGGAGCCCCTCTGCTCTGGAGCCAGGCTGGGAGAGCTGGGGGGGTTCCCCTGGAGAAGGCTCCAGGGAGAGCTGAGAGCCCCTTGCAGGGCCTAAAGGGGCTCCAGGAGAGCTGGAGAGGGACTGGGGACAAGGGATGGAGGGACAGGACATGGGGAATGGCTTCCCACTGCCAGAGGACAGTATTAGATGGGATATTGGGAAGGAATTCCTGGCTGTGAGGGTGGAGAGGCCCTGGCACAGGTTGCCCAGAGAAGCTGTGGCTGCCCCATCCCTGGAAGTGTCCCAGGCCAGGTTGGACGGGGCTTGGAGCAACCTGGTCTAGTGGAAGGTGTCCCTGCCCGTGGCAAGGGGTGGAACAGGATGAGCTTCAAGGTCCCTTCCAACCCAAGGCATTACAGAATTCCATGATCTGGCGGGTGCCTGCCCTTCCTGCCCTGCGGCTCCCCCCAGCCGTTCTGGTTCCCGTCCCCGGCAGCCCCCCCGGGCCGGGGCTTGGCGGAGCTGCCCGGCCGCGGTTGCCGCAGTAACTCGAGCCCCTGGCGGGGGAGGGGGGCCGGTTCTTTTCTTCCCCCTCGGGCCGGCGGCGCCGGGTGTTTGTTGACGCTGAGCCGGGGCTGCCCTCGCCCAGACCCCCGTGCCGGGCCACCCAGCTCTGCTGCTCCCCCCGCTTGGTTCTCGCCCCTCATTAACACAAACTCCAAGCCCCTTTTGAGGCCATTTTACAGAACAAAGCAGCTGCTCAGACCAATTCTGCACGTTCCCCCTCCTGAGCTGTGGTTAACGATAACCCACAGTGACTCGCCCTGTACTGCCCGTGCCAGCTCAGCCCCGGGGGGGACGGGGGGCTCTGGGGCCCCCCAGCACTCTGTGCCTCTGCTGAGGAGATCCCTCCTGACAGCCGAGGGCTGGATAACACTCCTGAGCTGCAGGAAAGTGTTTCCCTGGGAGCCAGGTCGGACAGGCTAAAGCTGAGCCGGGAAATGGGAGAAGGTCAGAAAAGCCAAAGGATTAGTCTCTGCCGGAACAAACAGGGTTTAGTCTGGTCACGTGAGAAGTCTCAGTTGTTTTCCAACCACAACTTTTTTTTTAAGAACTTTTTGAGGTGAATTTTTTGGTTGCCCGGAGTAGCTGTGGCTGCCCCAGCCCTGGAATTGTTCAAAGCCAGGTTGGACAGGGCTAGAAGCAACCTGGTCTTGTGGAAGGTGTCCCTGCCCTTGGCAGGGTGAGGAACTGGATGGGATTTAAGATCCCTTCCAACCCAAACCATTCTGGAATTTTGGGATTCTACGAGTTATTTGTCCTGAAGATGTTTGAGACTTAGGAAATGAACCTCGCTCCTGCGGGTGAGCCGCAGGGCTCCCATTCCGGTGGGGTGGGTGGGAATGACCCCACAGCTCCACGTGGCGTTTCCCGTGGTGCCGGTGTGCTGATGTTCCAGCCATGCTTTGCCTCCCCTTCCCCTTCTGCTCCTCGGTTCGGTCACTGGCCCGGCACATCCGTCCTGCCCCGGCGGTGGCCTCGTGCCCGAGCTGCGGAGTTGGTGCTGTGGGGCTGAGGTGTGAACCGGGCTGTCTGTGGCGCTGAGCCGTGCCCGGCGTCTGATCCGTGCCCGTGCCCCCACAGGGCTGCCCGGGGAGTCGCCGCTCGTGCGGGTGCTGGAGGACGAGTCCCGCAGCCGCCTGGGCCGCTTCAACCAGAAGGACGTGTCGATGGTGTTCAGCAGCGTGATGCGGCTGCACCCCTCCAGCCCCCACCCCCTGGTCGAGTCCTGCCTCAGCAGCCTGGAGCGGCACCTGGAGAAGGAGCGGCACCCCCAGACCCTCTTCCTGCTCCTCTCCTACTACCGGCTGCGGGCGCAGGCGCTGCAGGGCCACGCGGCCTCCGACCAGCAGCTCATCAACAACCGCAAGATCCTGCGGCTGGTGCGGCACACGCTGGGCCAGGTGAGCGCCATGCGCGAGCACGAGCTGGCGCTGCTGGACGAGATGCTGGCCCTGTGCGCCCAGGAGGCCAACAACAAGGCCCTGGAGGCCATCTTCAGCTCCCAGCTCTTCTACGAGAACCGGCAGGAGCGCTTCATCCGCAGCATGGCAGGTGAGGGGGGCCCGGGTGGGCTCCCGGCGTTGCTGCTGCCCGCACGGGGGACATGGAGGGCTCTGGCTCTGCAGCCTTGCAGGTGCCTTCCTGGGCCCCGGGGACGTTGGGGTGGTGAAATCCCTGCCTGGGGCCCTGCTGGGCTCCGGGGGTGGAGCAGGAGGAGGTGTCGTGGCCACCCTGTCACCAACTGCCCAGCCCAACCCTTCCAGAGGGGTGGGACCCCCTGTTTCTCCAGGGGCTGGTTTCCCACCACGCCTCCAGGCTGGGTACAGTGGAATTCCAGTGGGATTTTACAGAAGGGCCCCACCCTGTGCATGTTCCTGCTGCGCTCCAGCTGTGCTTTGGCTGTTCGTGACAGGAATCTGCCTGAGCCTCTCACCCGGCCCATACCTGAGGGTTTTTGGGAGCTGTCTGGGTTTTGGGAGGGCCGGTGCTGCCGTCCGGTCCCGTTCCCCTTGCCTGCCCTGGGCCTGTGGTGGGGGCAGAGGCAGCCCCGTGACTGTGCCCCCGCTGTGTTGGCAGAGTGGCTGCCCCGGAAGGCGGAGAACCTCACCCCCTACACCATGGCCCTCATCGCCAAGTACGTGGCGCGGCACCGGCTGCGGGAGCCGCGGCTGCTCGACACCATCGCCAACTTCCTGCTGAAGCGCGGGGAGCAGCTGGACAGCAAGGTGAGCTCCTCGCCGGGCACACCTGGGCTGGGGGAGCCGTGCCCCTTCTCCCCAGCACAGTGGGGTGTCCCAGGGGATCAGGGGTCGTGCCCTGACCCTGGCGGGCTCTGAGCTCCTGTCTCTGCCCAGCACTGAGCAGGTGGCCCTGGCCTGTCCCTCGTACCTCCCCGACCCCACGCCCTCTCCTCCTGCCACAGGTGATCCAGAAG